CGCACCTAAAAAAGATATAACCCCGAACCCCAGGACGTTGGCAAGTCCAACAACCGCGCTCCAATGACGTTTTTCAAGAAGAGCGGTCGCAGCCTTGCGCCTGCAGCCTGATCGATACAGCCAAGTACTCGGAACAATTTACTGCCCGGCTCACCCATGGTTATCCTTTTTTCATTTAGCTCTGCATTTTTTGTATTTTCCATGTTTCGCTTTGTTGTGTCGTGCATGTTTTCATTATTTCCCCGTCACCATTCATTGAATGCACATCTGGGCCCTGACAGCTCACCCGGGCCTATCTTTTTTCTCACCCAATTCAAGCCCTCATCAAACTGATGACCATTAGCCGCCTATTTCATTGATGTTCTTTTAGAAGTTGCATTCATATATGATTATCAACGAGGAGTTATTTGATCCTTTAAGGCAAAATTGTAGGTAATGCGAGGCTGTTGTTCAGCCTCATATTGCATGAGGCTGAAACAGCCTTTTATTTCCTGTATTTTAGAGCAGAGTGCGCCTTTCGAGAATCCAGATTCCATTTCAGGAAGCCATTTGTGGTGAACATGCATCTGGTTGTCAGTTAGAGCAGGAGGGGGGGGGTCGTGTCTGGACCCTCTTCGAGGGGGGGGGTCGTACCACGTCATTTAACACATCCCATGCTGTTACCCTCTCCACACGCAGAAAGGAGGATCGCCCGCGAAGTGGCCGTCGACTGGTCACTGATAAGATGTGTGAGTCATTAACAAGTGCGACAGCTAGCAAAAGTTCTATAAAATCAAGCAGAATTGGAAGCAGGACGCAGTATATTTGTAGAATTTTCGGTTATCTATTTTACAAGCAGTCGAGTCATGGCCACGATTTTGATTTTATTATTATCAAGAAATGAACAAAAAATATAGTAGCTGAAGTGTTTCTCAAAAAATATCCATAATTATCTCGGGAGACTCCAGAAATATATCGAAACTCTTGAGTCATTGAACAATGCTGACTAGTTTAAAGAAAGCGTACTGCACCATGTGCAGCAAGCGGCCAGATGAGCGACATGACGTGGCGCAGATTTGGTTGCAGCACGCGATGCCATGCCTGGGTTAATCTAGGCGTCATAAAACTGTAGAGACTTCAAGACGGCTCGAAATTGTATCGAACAATTGGCAAAAATGAAATGGAAAATTGTAAGTATTCATCGCATGGGAGCAACCTCATGAGGATCGGCTACCTGCAGAGCGCAATCACCAGTTTTTGCACATCCCCCATCAAAGCGAATGATACTGTGAAAATAAGCTGGAAAAATCAAGTCGTTCAAACTCGGGAAAAAGGGTGTTACTATTCAAAAACATTAAGAAGCGAAGGATATTTTGCAAGATCTATAGTAGGCGCAAAAAACACTTAAAACAAACTTGCGGGGGGGGGGCATTTTCATTCGTTTAAACTTATATATTCTCTTCTTCAACACTGATATTAGGGGCAGTAACAAGAATATAACGTAAAATACAATGAAAATGGGAAGGTGGAGCTAACTGATACCAGATTCGTCTGGAAGGACAAAAGCATCGACTTCTCCCATGCCATGGCTCCCCCCTCCCACCTCTCGCCCGTAACTGCATCGCGGCCATCTCACATTCTCACATGAAGTAGCCGCTACGACTTTCAATGGAAATTGAGTTCGTGCAGCATCCCGGGAAATGACCATCGATCGTGAAAACTTCATTTTTCGGGCTTCTTGAACCGTTCTGCTAACCCTAACAGCGCTGGGATGTTCTTCGGAACACGTGCCGATGGTCGCTTGTGTTAGTACCACTCCACCCATCAAAAGGAGGATCAGATGTGTGCAGAAGTTTGATTAATTTTTCTTCCTTATTTTTTCTGAAAGTCTCCAGGGTCGAGCGGCAATACTGGAGCCTCAGAAACTTCGCACGTGGGCCCATTATTAAATTGGTAGGGGGGCTTTTGTCGCAACGAATTCTTCCCCAACAACGACGTTAAACAGAAAACTCTACTTTTAAATGGCTATTTTAGGCGTACATAATTTGACCAAACAAAGTACATGTGGGCAGTTTAAAAATGGTGTTGAAAAGCGCGCGACTTTCCAGGTTTTCTTAAGCTACCGTAGTTCATCAGTTCACTTTGCCAAGAAGAACGCTCCTTTGCGGCTAACCATTAAATCGCATTTCAACCGCAATCTCCCAAAAATAAGAGCGGTATCGGCTTTGATATTCGCTAGAATTTTTTTTGAAACCCTGCGATCACTTCTACTCGAGCACTTCAGGAACAACAAATTCCATTATTTTACAAATAGCACTTCCAGTTGCACAATTCTCAAAGCGCTAGTGAACGTCGACGATGACGATGACAGCGCGAAGCGGAACCAACTGGTCGATAGGATCATTGTTGTCTCAATACCTCAGAGCAGCTTCTTCTCCCTGTGAAGTACTGTTTGAAAACTTAATAAAAACCTCTTTTCGCCGATTTCTGTTGAATGAGCTTGACCTTTCGCGTCGAAGTCACTGAAGTCAGCAGTGAACAAATACCGGAGTTCAGCTCAACAAACTACGTGACAGAGACTGCCTTTGACGACAGTTTTTGGAAGACAGCTCAGTCATTCAACGGCATTCGACGAGAGCCGCACAAAACGTACAGAATGAAGGCCACAACGGAATTCTCATTATGTCGCTTTCTGCCAGGCCCGATGACAAATAGTAGAAAAACGGGGACAAAGTGAAGGACAAGGCAACCACACATACCTGTGACTACTTAAAGTACAGATGAACATATGAATAATACGTGTACAGGATGAGAAATAGTGTTCAAAACTAAAGCTGAAAAGTTTTCCTGCGTTGATGGACTCTTTGATGGGATGCGCCACGTATTTCACTTTCATACAGAATCGTGGTGGATTATTGAACGCGTTAGGGCCTCTACGGTGGTTGCATGGTCACCCCATGTATACGACAATGTTCTATCCATCCGAACGAGTCTGTTATCAACCTACTAGTCATGGAAGGCGATCCGCGATTTCGTCCGTAGCTTGTGCGCGCTGCGTGGCGCCTCTTGCCATTACGCTCTCATGTCCAAAAATAATATTTCTATAGAAGTTAAAATTGCCGAAAAATATTGGCCATGTTATGTATCCCCATACACTTATGCAAGCTAATCAGACGAGGGATTGCCAGCTGATCAAATCTCATGCCTTTTCTTTTCCTGTGCTGTATAGGCAGCTTAGTTCATATGCAGCTCGTGGTTTTCTGCTATGTTGAAATGTCAAGAACCAGTTATTTTCTTATTTTTCAGGGATGGGTTTGCGGTCTGACGTGGGGTGCGCATCGGCAGTAACATTTATTTTGGCAATTGACTGCACGCATTTTCGTAATCATCACTTTTCATTCGCGAAACGTTATGTGCTGCTACTGTTGTTGACATTGTTATGACTCAGCGCTACGATGCTGTACAAGAGATCAGGAGTTTAGGAGGTACAGCTTCGCGACTATCTTGCGTCAGACTTTGAACATGGAGCCACTACTTACCTTTTAACAAACCCATTTTTGAAATTCAACAGACATCGATTGGTGCATTTTCAAGTCGTGAAAGCGGATCGTTGCACGCTTCGAGTAGAATTGAAAGTGATTGTTAGTCAGAACAGACCTAATCTTCGTCAAAAAGGCACTGAACAGATTTGATAAAGGTCTTCGCTCGGGCTTTGGAGCAAACTTAAGGTATGACGATACAGCCAAGCGAACGCCATGTGGCCCGGTGGCTGCAGTCAAATCATCGAGGGGCTCTCAACGTGTTCGTTCTTGGGAGGAGTCTTGTTCGATTGGCTAGATTCTTATTTTTTTTTTCGCGTTTATCGGTAATCTTAGACGTTAGATCGGGTCTTTTCTTCTATCTTCTTCCACCTATTGGCATATGCTGTTGTCGGAAGACCGAGAAAAAGAATCCAGCAATATAAAAGAATTCTTATAGAACAAGTGATATCATGCAGTATTCGGATTTGGTGCCAATGAGTATGGCGTTTTTTACACGAATTTCATATGAATAATAGACTTGTTTCAAAAGTTCTCTTGCTAATCTGATAGATAATTTCTTGCTTACAAGAAACGCTCCATTGTACTTTCTGCCTGTTTTTCGATTTTTGCCGATTTTTCTGTGGTTACGGTTGTTGAGTTTTACAACAACTTTTTTGCATCCAGGTCTCTAGTGAACAACAAAAGCTTGTTTCTAGACACGGTCTCAATCTTGATCCAAGCGATTAAGAGAGGAGAATGGATCTTTTGAATTGTGATCACATGGGTGCCTTTTGTGGAGGAGGCTTCCTGTGCAGACCATTCCACAAGTTTTTAAGCGCCAGGTTGATAGAACGCTTAACGAGACGTGGAGCCTCTCACGCCTTCTGTCACTCTTTTTTGGGACGAATTTCCTGATGATGATGATTCAGCAAGTCTCCAGTTAGAGCTCAATAGGCGTTAGCGTGGGCGATGGTGTTAGTGACTTGAAATCAAACCTTTGCACTTTAGCCATTTGTCGTGCCTTCCTAGAACATCGCTTCTGGCGGCCTTTGCTTAACAATCGGGCTCACTTGAACTCAATAAGGATCATGGTTTGAAGCTGTCTGTTAGCGCAGTCGGAATCTTTGAATCAGCTGAAACCAGTTGATAGTATTTTCAGTAACATAGCATTTGGCCTTTATTACTCACTTGTAAGTACGCTGCGCGTTCGTAATTCTGAGTATTGAAAAAATTTGTTCAAAATGCTCAGTTTCGTCAACCTGCCTCTACATTTGCGCTCTCAAGAATCTGTGAATAAAGAATGTCAGCAAAACTAAGAGGGCTGTCTCATAGGGCAAGGGTATTTCCTGCAAGAACGCTATTTCGATGTTGAAAGCTCTACTTTAAGGCCAATAATAATTCTTTGTGTAAACTTCTTTGTAAATTGTAAGACAAAACTACACTTAAATGTATGCTACGTTATATCCTTAGCTGACGGATGGTTTACGAGTTAGTGTTTGCATGGCATCCGCTCTCATGAATGTGGACATCACTCGATCATGGGGCTATAGCGTAAATCGGGGTGTTCAGCCGGAAATTGAGTCCTGGTCTCCGCACAGCGGACTCTGAATGAACAACGATCCGGTTTGGCCCAACAGTCACCTACCATTGTCTCAAAGATCAGACTGGGTTACGGTGAGTGTTCTTCCCTGTGACTGGGTGGCGAGCTGTTTTGGTGTCGAGCTTCAGTACGGTAGCAGAGATATCTGGTCAATAGTCACAACCTGCTCCGACCTTACAGAGTTGTGACGAGTGAGTGGGCGTTTCCAGGAAAGTGTGCGTGAAAGCCAATAAATTATTTTAACAACAAGGCGAGAACTCAACAAAGGAGATTTACATTATGTGTTTAGTTTCCACGGGCACGTGCAAAATGGAAACTAGTACTATTTGATGGCACCTGTCCACCTCCTTCCCACCCGTTAAACGTTCACTTAGTTCCTGAATCAATCCAAGCTCATAGAAACTGATTGTTGTAAATAAACTGAGCTTGCTATATGAAACTAATCTATCCTCGCTGTTTGAGCGCGGTCGTATGTTGTGCCTGTGTCAGACCTCATGTGCGCCATCCATACTTGAGCGATTCTACTTTTGTGATGGTGCACACCTCACCATGGGCTATAGGCGAATGAGTGGTGGAATCATTTGGTGTAAATACAGAAAATGAGAAGTCAAAAATCGTTTTCATATTCTGACGCAAAACATTACCAGTTTTCTGCGACATAACTAAAATGTAAACCACTTTCGCTTCTTTTGACTCTACTGGATTACTCTTTGTGCCATTGTGTGTTGCAGTGATAATACTTCTTTTTTCAGCTTCGACCAAGCCAACTAGTGGAAGCCTACATTCACCGTATCGAGCAGGTGCAATCGTTTATACCACTATTTTTGCTGTACTTCCACACTCACCTCTGGAGATACCTCCCCTGCTTATTCACTAGAAGGTTTACATTACTAAAACTTAACTCTTCTACTCCAGGTGAACCCTCTGATAAACGCCGCCGTCGTGACGCTCTTTGATGAAGCACGAGAAACAGCTAAGAAATATGATGAACAGTTGAACGAGTTGAACGATGACGCTTTGGACGACGTGAGTTGAAAAAACACGAAGGAAAGTTTCAAGAGAAAAGTTCAGAGAATGTGCTCAGTCAGAGCTCAGTTGCCCAGTAGAGCAGTAGAAGTGCTTTCAACTCCTGTCGATCTGAAATACCCTGTGAAGTTTGTCCTCCCCTTTCCATATATGACCCTCCATAAACTATCGTGAGCCTAATCTTACAAGTATGAATTTGGCACTTTTCGGGGTAGAGGGTTCAAAACAGCATTTCAAGGTTACCAGAAGATTTACATGATTCAGAGCTTACTCTTCCATTTCAGCTCTTCTCTCGTCGTCCACTATTCGGTATACCATTCAGCTGTAAGGATTCCCTTGAGGTTGAAGGCCAAATCGTCACTTCCGGCTCATATTACCGAAAAAACAACCGCTGTACAAAAACTGCTGTTGCAGTACAAAGGTCTGTATTTTCTTTCACATGTAGCATGGCGACCACGCATGTTCGGTCAGTGAGATCAGATTCTGCCCTTACAGCCTTTACTCTGACTCACTGAGGTTACTGAACTAGTAAAGGACCAGCTTAAAAGTAAAACTTCAACGCAAGCATTGGATGGACCGTGTAAAGTAGCTAGAGTTCACGCATACAACACTTATATTTCCATTTCTTTACTTTACGAACAAAAATTCGGCGCAGGTTGGTTTGGTGGGGGCGTTTTTTTGGTTTCTATCAATCACTGCTTGCCTGCTTCCTGCAGTGACTTGTGAGCTCACGTAGAGCTAATAGGGACTATGTTTACACTTGACAAAAGTCTCACTGAGGTGAGACGTATAATTGAGGGGAATAGTCCAATGGGACTAGCGAAAGTGCACAATGCCCCTCTCTCTCCCCCATCCTTAACCCCAGGCCGAGCAGCGCTGAAAATTCAAGAAGAACGCCTCGAGAGAATGCCCTGTTCTCGAGTGAATGACTTTAAGACACATGGTACGATCACACATAGTTTGGGTGTGCGTGGTTATCAGCCCCCCCCAGGCTGATAATAGGAGCTGATAATATTTAATAGGGCCGGACCAAGTACCCCCATCTCCTGTCGATGTGAAACGCTCTCAGACATCTGCCTGCCATGGATCACTACAATGTGGCGCTCAGCCTTTCACCTGACTGGATCGGACACACTATGCTCCTCCTCCGACAGCGACGCCTAGTTTTTTTGAAGATATGCATACACTTTACTCGCATGAAAATATATAACTTTATTAGGGCTTTCACGTACTCTCTCCTTCCACACACGAACAACAAACAAATATCAGAACAGCTAAGCGTAATAGGGAACGCAACTGCCCGGTAAGCAGAAGATGCGGGTTCGAATCCCGTCCGTGGTCCGACTTTTGCCCATAACTCAGCATTCTTGTGATAGCTTTCGGATCGCGTACTGCGGCGTTAAACAGCAGTTATCAAAACAATATCAGAACAGCGTTTTCATTTCAGGGTGAGAGATGCAGGTGGTATTCTCATCGCAATCACTAATGTGCCAGAGCTGTGCGCATGGATCGAATCTACAAACGTAGTTTACGGCAGATCAAGGAATCCGTACGATCTTCGACGAATTGTTGGTGGAAGCAGTGGTGGTGAAGGGGCACTGCTCAGTGCAGCCGGTACTCCGGTACGCCTTAGTGGTGACAAATTAATCACCACAGCACAAACCTCTGTTGAAGAGTGTCACGTTGCTTGTTCAAGTATCTGGGCTTTTTGCGGAATATTTCTTTATTCAGTAGTGCTTATGAATAGGTTGGCGTTGGCAGCGATGTCGGTGGCAGCATCCGTATTCCGAGCTTTGTCAATGGAATTTTCGGGCTAATGCCAACCCCAGGTCAGTTGATCGAGACTCACGGCCAATGAGTATGCGGAGAATTTTCGTATAACGATTTCTTTGAATTATAGAGGTTGGCGATGTTTGGCTCAGAAGGGGCATTTTACGCTTCCACTAGTCCCTTTTGCTAGTCTAGGCCAATGAGTAGGTCTCTCTCTAGTGAAGGCTGTAAAATCTTGTGAGACTGCGGAATGGTACCAGCAAGTCACTCCGGTTACAAACATCTACACTCTCCACAAAGTAGCGTGAACAGACTTTGCTGAGTACCAGATGGTGCCCCCACCATGCCGTGCAGCGCTCGAAGATCCTTGCACAAACGTGAACATAGGATTTTTCGCGCAGCTCGGCTTGGCAGAAGCAGCAAATCACCTCAGCAAATGTACAGGTCACTTGTGACGATCTATAACCAAATTCTTGTAGCGGCTCGATAGCCCCTTTTGCAGTTACACAAGAGTTTACTCTTACTTTGGTGAGAGCTGTTAGTTGAAATCAACTAGCAAAAGGAACTAGCAAAAGAGCAAGTTCCACAGTACTGCCCAGAGTTCATTTTGAGTAATCACTGTTTGAAAAGGGTGAAACGTGCCAGTTCCAAGCGCGACCTCGAAAGAATTTCAATTTAGATGCTGCCGGCTGATCACTGTCATTGCAGGTTTTATTCCACTCACTGGTCATAGCCCTGAACCGGTCGGCTATAAAACTCAGATGCTTCGAAATGGACCTATGTGTCGCTACGTTGAGGACATCCCCTTGCTGTACAAGGTGAGCCAGCTCAAGTGAGTATAGCCTTACATTAAATTCCGTGAAAAGTAAAGAGGTAGAGAGAGAACGGTTCAGTGTGATGGTCACAAATGCCTTAAAGACAGTTGGCACGATAATTTGGTACTCAGCCTAAAATGCTAGCAGGGCGCTATTTAGTGGGGAAAATGGCGAAAAAACGAAGTGAAACGGTCAAAAACTGCGAAGAAAAGCCTTCGTTCTTGAAAAGCAATTTCGGACGAGTTTCCCGTAGGCGTATTGCAAATAACCGCTCCGGTAGGTGCGGCTGCATGTATGTACTCATATATTCAGCACCGCAGCCGCTTCATACCAATCCCTTCGCTTCATATTTTAAATAGCAAATGAAGCAAAACGAGCATTGGTAGGGTCGTCCATTTGTGGGCGGGCGGGCGTGGTAGGCGTTTGGGTCGGAAAGTTGGGCCCTTATAAGGGTACCTTCGTGGGGGAAACCGCTACGCAGGGCCTGCTCAGGGTCGCGGAAATCCGCCCTGCCAGGCATATAAATCCTACTCGTCTTTGGGGATTTATCGTGCCAACTGCCTTTAAAGGCATAATCTTGATAACTTGGTACAATATCAGGGGTGCTGTATAGTGGCGAAACTGTGAAAGCGGAGTGAAGGTCAAAAACCTGCAAAAAAGCCTTCGTTCCACATGACGCAGAAAACAATTTTGTACTGAGTTTCCCGTGACATCGTGTCGTAAAACGCGCTACGGTGATTATGTGTTGTATGGGCATTCAACCATATATCTCATTGCCGCAGTTGCAGCGGCTTCTATTAAACCTTTCGCCTCACATCGAAATTACTTCGCGAATGATAGGCGATATCGAGCGAAGCATTCAAGCAGGGTCTGACATTGGTGGGCCGAACGAGCGCGCATGGGCGTCCGATACTATAACGTGGCTCATTCTCGCGGAAGACGCCGACGCTGCGCTGCTCGGGGCGCCGAGTTCCTCTCTGATGGAGTGTTAATCTATACGCATTGGGGGTTTATCGTGCCATCTTTATTATTCACTACTGCTTACTGCTTAGTTGCTTACTGCTTATATTCAGTAAGCAACTAATGCACCGTCAGTAAGCACTGGGTGCAAAATGCGTTGTCAATTCCACAGGCATGCTTCAGTGGAATGTCGCCTTCCGATCTTAGGATGGCAGGTCTTCCGCAGTACCAGATAAATAGATAAAGTAAATATAATACAATGACGCTCAACTGGCCTCAGCTCATTGGTTTTTCAAGTAATATGGCGAACGTCTCATCAGTTCACATGAAATCTCGCCGATCCTTTGATAACTTAAGAGTGGCAGTTGCACGACTAAATCCCCCAAGACGACTAGGATCAATACTCCTGTCAGGATAGAATTCCGCGACCCTGGGCAGGCGCTGCATAGCGGTTTCCCGAGGAAGGTGCCTATAAGGCCTATCAAGCCAGCAGACTTTACGTCGCCAAACGCCCCGCGCCGCCCGCGCAGCAATGGACTACCCGTTGCCTACGCTCATCTGCTTCAATTTGCTAAGCAAATATGAAGCGAAGGGATTGGTATGAAGCGGCCGTGATGCTGCATGCATATATGGGTACACATATGCAGCCGTATCTTCGGTAGCGGTGATTGGTAAGATGGCTAGTGCGGTAAGAAAACTCGTCCGAAATCGATTTACAAGTCACTGAAAACGGAGGCTTTTTCTTCGCAGGTTTTTGAACCGTTTCACTCGTCCTTTCGCCATTTTCCGGCCCCACTATACACGCGCTCTACTCAGCATTTTAAGTGGTAAAGTAAGAAAAGCATCTGTGCCAACTGCCTGGTTAAACCATACCGAAAGACACAGTGATGAAGTGTCTCCGCCCTTACTTCCAGTATGAACAGTACCTAATTGGTTGGATCTCTTGAGTTTTCCTTTCCGCGCTACATACACTTCACATCCATGAAATGCGGTAGCCATGGCTGCGTACTTCATTTGAACATAGCATATGATTGTTGCTTTGTGCAGTCTTGTCTAGTGTTCGAAAAAGACACGGTTACACTTGTCCTCGAAGTGAAAATATCTCATAAAAACGCAATCATTACTATAAGTTACCTTGCCCCCTCAATGCCACCCCTAATCATGGACCAGAAGCCATGTGGATCTTTTTTAGATCTGATAAGACCGGCATCGCAGTCCAGCAGTAAACAACATGAGCACTGCCACAGGATCATTTCTAGGCAAGTCTACTTGGGTATGTGACAAGAGAATCGTAATTCGCCGCGTTGGTGGGCGACAAGGCGCCCGCATATGATGAAGTTCCAGGTAGAGGAGGGCGATAACAAGGAATTCAGAGCCGAGAATAGTCATGAATGTCTACGATGACGGAATGTACTAGTGTAGCAGAAGTCCGGTGCTCCTGTCGACAGATTAACACGAGATGAGAAACGGTCGCCCCATCGCCGCACGCGGCGAAGTGGCAAACTATGATTCTCTTGCAGTGCTCCCATACACTTTACATCACCGCAATTGTCGGGTCGCAATCAGCGGCTCGCACCTGCGGCGTTTCCATCATTGGTTGCTCCCTCCCTAAATCGATCTTTACCCGATCGCCATTGGTAGAGCAACGAGGCCGAACGCCCATTTGGACCGCGTTGCACAGCCGCCCTCCGACAGTCCGCAATGATGAGGACTGTACTTAACGAAAGCATCAAACAATAACTGTTTCGCATATAACGTTTCGACAAGCAGCGCAAGTCGGAATATTGTGTTACCTGCCTGCATGGGAAACTTGGCGATTGTACGTGGGAGTAATGTCATCATTGTCGGACATGTGACTTTACGTAGCCTGGAGGGATACGAAGTGTATCACTATGAGATGCTGTATTCAGCAGCGCTTGGTGAGGAGCATAATGGGACAGATTCCGGAATGAAGAGCGTTGCACACGCGACGAATTTCGGCGGGGAAGACGTCAGAACCACTGTGGATACACACTATTCGAAGAAAACCCTGAATGAATGAAATACCGAGAAGTTTGCCTTACAATAGCAAAGATTTAGTGTCATTTAAAGTGCACTAAGCGAAATGACAGTCCTGAT